AAATTGTATCATTATTATGAGTCCCTAGAAATATCACTGTTAGGCTTTTGAGGATCTGAACCCTGTCAAGTCTCATGATGCTGAGTGGGAATTCCTTGTCTTTGTTACTCTCGTGCTTCCCCATTATGGCTTTGGTATTTCTTACATTTCCAACATCCACTGTTGCTTTTCTTCTCCCCCCAGATTCCATGTCAGGCCCTGCTCCCTGTCTCTTTGGGCAGTCTGGCACTGCAAGTTCTCCTCTTGCCATGAAACCCCACTGGATTCCAGGAATTTAGGAAGTCTGGACAGTTCTGGAAATGCAGGGCAGTAATCAGCATGTAACACATCTGGTTCTGTGCCCTGCCCTGGCTCAGTCCCAGCCTGGGTTTCAGCTCATCCTGAGGGGCTGTGAATGATGTGGAGAGCAGAGATTGGAAGGCAAAATTGCAGCTTCCACTGGGGTAATGCACATCAAGGAAAGAGAAAGAGATGTCTCACATAGATACTGAGTTCCTCTCACAGTAGGAGGAATATAATAATCTTACAATAATAAGACATATAATAATATTATTTTGTTAAATTACCTTTTAATACTGTATTGAACCATGAAAGCTACAAGAAGTCCCTTTCTTCCCAGGTAATCTGTAAGCAGTCCTGGGCCATTCCCTGTCTCCTGGGATGTTACCACAGAAGTGGCTCTAAAGTCAAGTTTAGTTTTTTTAGGCTGTTTGGATTTGGGATCTCATCCCTTAAGCTACTTGCTGTGATTCTCACCTTGAGCAGAATTTCCAAGGTTAATGAGCCCTTGGAGCCTCATTTATTTTGGACCAAATTTTAAAAGTCTTCATCTTTCAATGTGGTAACAAGGACCTTGAAAGAGCTTGGAGGGGACAGCACAAGGAAACAGGAGAGTTGTTCCAAGCTTGCAGGCTCTGCTTGAGCAGGGCAGTGTTGGCAGCACCCCCAGGCCAGAGCTGCTGGCTCCCTGCCCAGCTCTGGCACCTCCACTGAGGGTTGATGCAAACACTGGACAAAACAGACTAAAACCTCCTTCACATGGAGGCTAAAAGGGTTAAAGTTCCAAGATCATTTAAAGCAGTGGGTGCAAGGGCACATCTCCATGTTGGGTTTTATCCATTGGGATTCCCCTGCTCCCATGGTCCTCCCCAGCTCCTTTCTGGGCTGTTCCTACAGGGCAGAGCTGCCACCTTTTCACAGCAGCCTGTGCCTCTTGGTACATCCAGTGTGGAACTTGAAATCACAGCAGCCTGTGCCTCTTGGTACATCCAATGTGGAACTTGAAATCAGCAGAGTGATAACAATGGGGTCTGTCACTGCCATGTTGCAATCTTCGCTGCAGTGTTGTTCTCGCCTCTCTGCTGGGGCTCTTCTCCATTCTCTGCAGCACACTCCTTCCTTTCTTCTCAGGGACTCCTCCTGGGCTCTCAACCCACCCCTATTTATTTCAGTTACCTTCATGAGCTACAGCTGCTGCCCAACTAAGGACCCTGCAGCTGCAGCTCGTTTGGAGCAACTCGGACCCACACAGGTCTTACAATACAACATATATTCAGGCCCCCACACTGCCACACAATTTTTTTCTTCCCACATTATAAAAAAAATACTGTCAGAACAAATGGACTCAAAAAAAGCTTATGTGAGAAATAAACCCAACTCAATTTCTGTCTTCTCCAAATTGAACTTCAGAGGATTTGTGTTTATATCTAAAAATATGCATACATTGATAATTCTCTCTTCCACTGCTTTTTCTAATTATAATTTATTTTGAAGAAAACTTTTGCATTTTCTAACATTAAAAATTAGCCAGTAAGATAAAGCTCACTAGGAACCAAAGGCAACCAGCCTCAAAAGGAAAAGGAATTACTCCATTTCAGCAACCTGGACTGAATGACACAAAGTTAGTTGGATCCTAAACATGCTTTCAGCTTTCCTTGATCCCTGTTCCTTGCACAGTGCCCATGGAAAACACAAGTCACAGCCCTGGGAAAGGTGTCAGGCTGGCAGCAGGGACAGCAGAGATGGCCCATGGCAATTCCACAGGAGGGTTATTGTTTTTCATTTTATCCTGAAATGGCATCTCCTGGGTTGAGGCTGGGACCACCCACACTCTTCTCTGTGACAGCACAACTGCACTCCCAGCTAGTTATGAAGCTGAATTAAAAAGTAGGCTCATTTAACACTGGGTGGCAAATGCAAAGGATTTATTTAGATTTATTTCCTCGTGTATTTACATTGTTGCAAGGAGCTCTTTATAAATGCATTACTGATGAATATTGAAAACCTTCTTGGGCACAAGTATTTTCTTGCAGTGGTAATGCATCAGAGGCTTGGCTGGTGGTTATTCTTCAGAGTTACGAGGCATTAGACGTAAATTTAAATATAAATGTAAATTTTACAGCAAGATCCAATACTAAAATGTTCTGGATCTTATTTCAATTAAAGGGGAAGGAAAAGTTTTTAAGAAACACTGGAATCTTGTTTTGGTCATAAACTTTCCTAAGATCCTGAAGTGAGCTGCTTTCCCCCAGTTTCTTGTCCACTTTGCCCTAAAGCACAACAGCCTATGCAGAGCACAGGGCACCCATCCACGGCAGCTAAGCCGGTAACGCCTTGAAAAAGCCAGTTTGCAAAGCAGCCTAGGTATTAAAAAGTGATTGCCAAAGAGTCTGAAAACACAGCTAACAGGGAAGATTACTCCATGAAAATAAAACTGTTATGCAAAGCAGTTTCTGGGATTCATGAGCAGCCAGCACCGCGTTACCAGCAGTCCTTCAGCACGGGCGGGGGGGTTTGGAGAACACGGGGACAGCGTGAGCGGCTCCGGCACCGGCGGCAGCCTCGGCACCCGCACCCGGCTCCCCGGAGTTTCTTTGAGGGAAGGAACTTTAAAAAGCCACAGGAAAAAAAAACCAAAAAAAACCAAAAACAAACCCAAACAAAATAGACCCCCCCCAAAAAAATCCAACTTACGCCGCAGGAAAACAATGAAAAAAAGTACTTTTACTTTCCAAGATTTTCTCAGGGGTGGGCTTCGTGTCCGGCTC